GGCTAGTGGCTACCATGGCGAACAGCACACCACGGAACATCATCGCAGAAAGTTCTGGTGAACAGTGCTGATCTAGAATAATGAAGGAACTACCCTTTGACTGTCAATCAGAATTGCTCACTCTTCTAATTAAGCTCTAGGTAGGCGTGGGGCAGCAGAGGTGTCCAAATTTTAATATTTGACAAGAGTAGAACTGCAAGAAATTCACATTGCTAATGAAAGATAGCCCACATATCTTAAAAATCAACCAAGCAGGAGGTGAGTTCACTTTCTTTAAAGAAAATGAAGGCTCCTAATGAAGACCCAGAGAGCAGCCCCCTCTCCACCTCTGTGTGGGGGTTGTCAGTAAGAACATACCAGCAGGACCAAAGTGTTCTTCCAAACAGTTTCCTAAAAACTGTTTCCTCAAAACAGCTGGGGGAAAGAAAAATATAATCAAAGCCACAAAGTTCATTCCCTCATTCTTTTATTCAACTTTAATGAGCAGGCATAGATGTTATTTGTACCTGAAAAAAATTAAAATAGATTTGACTAATCTCCCAGGTCCCAGAAATAAACAAATGTCAATAAGACACCCAAGAAACAGCTACTTTTTAATTGCAACATTTTCTAGCAAAACCATCAGAGAAAAATGGTTGCAAAATGCAGCCCTAAGTAGCTGAAAAAGTTGGCCGGCTATATATAATCATTAGATATAAGCCAATTAAATTGCAAATACTATCTGCCAAAAATGATGATTTTTTTTGGGTTTAGAAAAGTTGAATTCAAGCCACTCTATTTTCCAGTAAGATAAAGAGGCCATTTCTGGTTAGTGACAATAAAATGATATCACCACTACAGAGAAGTTATTTTTATACTTTTTATAATAAGGGGACATGCAGTTAGATCATGCACGAATTGTTTCAAATCATTAAGACACAAATTAAAAAGAAGAGTTAAAGGAGGCAGAGGCAGAATATAGTTCCAGTTTTTAAAGATTAGAATAATTATCTGATCCGTAGGAGACCATTCCCAGGTACGCTTGTGGTCTAAAGCTCAGATTGCACGTAAGCATTAGTCATCCAGATCTTGAATCCATGTTCATTGAAAATCTATTTGTCCTTCCCCAACCTCTCTCCACCCTTCTCCACCCTGCTCATGCCTCACACAGCTGACTTGTATAGGCCGCATCAACAGGCTCTCTTGCCCTTTCTAAAGGAGTTCAGCCAAAAGGAGACACTGGCAGGAGATTAGAAGATAAGGAAATAGATTAGAGTATCTATCCTTCCCCCACTGCCCTGCTCTCTCCCTCCCTGCAAGGGTACCATGGATTAGCTGCATTCCTTAACCATAGGCTGTAGCTCATGTCAGGTCGCCCTTCTCATATAGCTATGCTCCACGCATTCCAGTGACACCTCACTTCCTTGTTTTGGGGCCACAATGTGATGTTTTGATATATACATATAATATGGGATAATAGCCATATTCATTGCCTCAGAAGTTTATCATTTCCTCATGGTTAGAACATTCAAAATTCTCCCTTCTACAATTTTGAAACATACAGTATATTATTGCTAACTGTAGGTACCCTACTGTGCAACGGTACACTAACACTTAATCCTCCTATTGAACTGTAACTTTGTACCATTGACCAACTTCACTTGCCCTTGTCACCGCTACCTTTCCCAGTCTCTGATAACTAGCCACTACTCTCTATTTCTCTGAGATCAATATTTTTAAATTCCACATACGCATGAGATTGTGCAGTATTTCTCTCTCAGTGCCTGGTTTATTTCACTTATGTGATGTCCTCTAGGCTCATTCATGCTGCCACAAATGGCAGAATTTCATTCTATTTTACGACTGAATAGTATTCCATTGAATCAATATATCACATTTTCTTTATCCATTCAACACTTGATCAACATTTAAATTGTGTTCACACCTTTGCTATTATGAACAGTGCTGCAAAAAAACATGGATCTACAGCCATCTCTTTTTCTTACTGATTTCTTTTTTTTTTTTTTTTTTTTTTTTTGTTTTTTTACCTGTGGGGGTATTGCTTGTTATATGTACCCGAGATCCTAACTTGTTGACTATCAGGTAAAAAGCGTACTAACCCTTTGTCTCTGTGAGGGTAAGAGGGAAGAAACGATGGGTTTTACACCCATCTTTTTTTTTTTTGTTTTTTTTTTTTTTTTTTTTTTTTTTTTTTTGGTTATTTACACAGTAGTGGAATTGCTGGATAATATGGTCATTTTAATTTTACTTTTTTGAGTAAACTTTTTTGAGTTTTTCATAATGGTGAATATTTTACATTCTCACCAACAGTCTATAAGAGTTCTTCTTTCCCACACCCTCCCCAGAATTTGTTAGTTTCTGTCTTTTTTGCAGTGACCACTCTAATTGGGGTGAGATATCATATTATGGTTGTAATTTTCATTTCCTTGATGATTATGATGGTGGACATTTTTTCATATATGTGTTAGCCATTTGTGTATCTTCTTTTGAGTAGTGTCTATTCAGATTATTGCCCTTTTTTTAAATCATATTATTTGGGTTTTGTTGTTGTTATTGAATCATTTGCATGTCCTACACATTCTAAATATTCATCCCTTGTCAAATACATAGTTGGCAAATATTTTCTCCCATTCAGGATGTTGCTTTTTTACTCCATTGATTGTTTTCTTTGTTGTGCAGAAGCTTTTTCATCTGATGTAATCTCGTTCATCTACTTCTTGTTTTTGTTACCTATGTTTCTGAGGTGACTTATGAGTTGCAGTGGCTCCCCACTATTAGCCTAAGTATCTTGTAGGTTTTCCTCAACCCTGCCTATACCTTGGTCTGTACACTCAGGCATCGCGTAACAGCATTTCAGTCAGCAACACACCACACACACAACAATGGTTCCATAAGACAATACTAGGCTATACCATTTAGGTTTGTGTAAGTACACTCTATGATGGTTACACGACTACACAATCCTCGGAATGTATTCCTGTTTTTAAGTGAGGCATAATTGCAGTTTCTCTAATTAAACACTCTTTAGTTATTCAGTTTGTGTGGACTTTTCCACAACCCCTGATGATACACCAGTTCATTATTAGTTTTTATGCACAAAGAAGAACAAAGAAAGAGTCACCAAATTTATAAATAGTCTTAATTATTTCTGAAAGACTTTTCCAACACACTAGAAGGAGTGCAATGTTGTTAATAATGGAATATTGTACTCCAATCCAAACTGTTACTCATAGAAAATATTAGCCAGGAAAAAAAAAATCCAAAACTACCATTTACTTTTAAAAGTGTAATGAAAAGTCCACCGAAATGATGGCACTATGATTTTTATAGAGGAATATTGTTCTCGAAATAAAGAAAAGGACAGGGGAGTTTAACCAGATAAAATTAATAAGAGTAAACAAATTATCCCCCAATTAAAGCAGGACTTGAGCAATTCCGAGAGTAAGCGTTCTCGAAAGGTGCCTTGTAATGATAGTACCACATGCGGACATAATACATGGACCCAATCAGCAAAGAGACTTGTTATTTCAAAGATCAGTAAAGTTGTTCTTCAGTTGAAGTCCTTGAAGATATACTACCTTATACCACCATGCGGTAAAAGAACAAAATCCTTGAAGTCAGACAGATCTGATTTTCAAATCTCCAAGTCAAAATCTTTTATAACGTGGGATAAATAATATTTCCACTGTAGGGTAATTGTGAGAATTAAACATAAATGTATATTTAAAAATACCTAACATAGTACCTGATTCACTTAAAAAGTCATTAAATGGAAATTCAAAAACAAACCCAACAAAAGAAAACCAATAACTTACACCCTAAGCAGCTTGAAAATCAGCAAGCAGATCAGGAAAACAGATTGGAAAAATAGCTGGTTAAAGTACCCTCCCTCCAAATCTTCCTATGTATTATATAATGTTTTAAGAACCTCGATAATGGAGGAATTCCCTTCTAAAATTTCCTCCCATAAGAAACAGTCACCTAAGGGAATTTTCTCATTCTCTGTCCTGGAAGACCTCCAACTATTCTTCTTCATCTAGCTTTCTGTTTCAAAGTTAATTACTACTTTTCACAGTGCACCACGGAGAACATTTCTTGCTATCACAAACTATCGGGGAGGTCATCACAGTTCAAATGAGTACTGGACTGATGCAGGCATCCCACTGGCAACCACAGGGCCCTTTACTGCCCTGAGTGAATGCCCAGCTGGGTCTTCTATTTGTTTTTTTGAGATTATCCCACCTGAGTGACAGAACATTGTCTTTGCCTGGGTTGGCCACATCTAGGACCCAGAAATAAGGTCATTGTTTCCTGTCAAACACCTTTTTTTCTGTGTTTGGGGTTATGCCACAGATTTGTTACTGACTCTACTTCTGGACAGAATTCATTTTTTAACAGCAATTTATAAGTTTTTTTTTAGCAGGACCATAGGAAGTGGGAATAAGTATAAAGTATTTTGACAAGTAACAGAGGAAAAGAATTCCAAAGACTGAGACACTGCCTAATGTGATGAAAAGATCAGCAAAATTACATGTGAGAGGACTCTGAACACAAATCAATTCAGAAACTCTGCCCTATCCCTGGAGCTGGTTTACAGATTCCTAACACTACAAACCCACCCCCACGCCCCTACATTTCCCAGTTCCTGATCCTGGAGTTGGTGTCCCATGGATCCTCAAGACCAAGTTCCCAGTGAACTCCTCTTTGAAATGCTGTTTGGTGAACAGAACAAATGCAGGTAGAGCTTACACTGGGACCAGCAGTTGGCATAATGGCTATGTCACTGGACTCCCACGTAGTCGACCACAGTTCAAGTCCTGGACCCGGTGGCTTAAACTCACACCAGGCACATGTGCATGCGTGCCCAAAATCTGGAGAGGAGAATGGAGGAGAAAGTATTGTGGCATGGCCATCCCTCCCAGGTGATGATTTCTCGCTTTCTGTCTCTTTCTGGTGAGTGCACATATCCTATAGCAAAAACCTCCCCCCCCCAAAAAAAAGAGCTTACACCTAGTTAATGCCCACAATCTGCCAGGCATTACACAGCATATCAGTTAATCCTGATGGTAATCCCAGAAAATAGATCACATAATCACAATTTCATAGGTACAGAAAGGCTTTGACAACTTATGTAACTTGCTCAAAATAAACTTGTAGAACTAGAATTTGCACCAAGTCTTCCCATCTCCTATTCTTCTCCTTCTGTCCTGCCACATGTTCATCAAGGACTTTCTCCACTCTTCAGCATCTGGACATAGAGCTATGAGACTCTGAACACATTACCTTCACTCTGCCATCAGCTCTTCATCTTCTGCACGAAGCTGTCAGAAAAGAGTGTAAATGTGTATAACCTAAGTGTACAGCGTCTTCCTAATCTATCATTCACTTTATGTATCTGGGTGTTTGACAGTGGACACCTGTATCAGTTGTCTGTCATTGCATAATAAACCACCCCAAAGTTAGTAGCCTTGAACAATAATTTCTTATAGCTCATGACTCTGTGGGCCACTTGGGTAATTCTTCCACTGGTTTTGCATGGACCCACTCCTGCAAATGCTGGTGGATTACCTGGGAAGAGTGTTCACAGGCAGCTCGAGGCAATAGATCTTCTCTTTCCACATGGTCTCTCATAACAGACTTTTACATAGCATAATTATCTTGGGGAAGCTTCCAAGAAGACAAACTCCAAAGTACAAGCATTTAAAAAAAAAAAAAAAATATATA